ATTCTATGATTCTATGATTCCCAGCAATGCAAATTTTTAAAAAAAATGGAGTTTAAAGGGAACTCAACCTTTTTGTTCTGCGGTGTTTCATCCAACATGGCCAAAGTTTTAGCAAATTCTTCATCTTCATGCAGCTGTCTCTCCAGCTGGAAATAAAAAAGGCTCAGGTCTGTCAAGTTTTAATTCTACTATAGTTTTAAAACTCTATTTGCTGTTCAAGACAAAAAGTTTATCTAGACCTTGTTTTTCCTGATAGGTTGTTTAACTTTTTAAGAGATTAAAGCCAGATTCATCCCACCTCTGGGGAGGTCAAGCATGAGACTAAGTAAAATATATTCATCTCAAATGATAATCAAATTTATCAATATAGGGACAATCGATTAGTTTCCACAAAAATCAAGTAAACACATATGACAAGTGTACCCTCCCCTCATAGTAGCACTGACTCAAGCAGGAAGCTTTGACACACTGGGAAGGGTCATTCACATTTTTCCTCAACTATAGGCAAACTTGGATGACAAGTGAAACATCATGGGTGGCAATAGCTCTTCATTACTCAGTCCAGGGAATTAAAAAACACCAAACCACCCACACCCAAAACATCCACAAAAAAACAAAACACACGAGGAAGCAGAAAGTGAATTCTGTGTCAAAAGAAAGATTATTATAGAAACATCAAGTCATGAATTGTACAGGTAGAGAAAGCCTGCGTAGATAGAAAATAGGTTGATACGTTCTATTTACGTAACTGAAACATCACCCATAAAAATAACTGTGTGACTGTTTGCACACATGTGCAAGAGTTAAATACACAGATGAATTTTATTACACGTTTTTATAGCATACATGGAAAGCCCATCTTAACTTCTTACAGAAAACCAATCTTAAACAAACTGCTCTTTGCATAAACCAGCAAATTTATAGAGCTTTTACCTCTGAATCCTCTTCAAGCTGCAGTTGCCTAGCAATGGCCTCATCATCTAGCGTGCTCTCTCTGCTCTGTGAAGGCTATATTTAAGAAACAGAGACAACAGCTCAGTTTTCCCAACATTGTGTAAACTGTAACAATTTAATTCGTATAGACTCATTTTGTACACTTCTAGACGACGGGGAATGAGACGTGGCATTTTACTCCTAGTTCTCTAAACACAATTAAACAAGGCTGTTCAAGAGACTTCACTATTCAAAACAAAGCCATGCTAGAAGACAAATACCTCATTCCTTCAAACAACACTTAACATCTCTGAAACTACCACAGTTGACCCACTTGAAAGAGACATCAATAACTACATTGTGAATTTTTATTTTCCATGATTTTTCCATACTTTGGTGCTTTGTTATTCCAGGAATGTGTGTGCCAAAACTTGGGAAAATAACCTCCTTCCTCTCCCTCCTGCCCTCCACCCCCAGCAATAAGCTATCCCATCCCCTCACTAATCTCTGAGAACTACTTAGAATTAAGAAAAGTCGCTTGAGAAGGGGCAACACTTTCAACTTTGTGCTCTCTTCTCAGACGTAGAAATGCTACTCTAAACGTGCATTCGAGGGCTTGATGTGCCCGTACACATCAGAGTGGAACTGAAATACTTGAGTCATTAAAAAGTAACCTGCAGTAGGACAAGCAGTTAAGCACCCCCTTGTCATCACTAAACCGACTATTTTGATCAGACACAAGCAGCCCAAAGGAACATCACCGGTACTCACTTCTTTCCTTTTACTTGCTACCAGTTTCTTCTCCGATCGCTGGACGCTACTTGTCCCAAAGTAATCCAGTGCCGAGGTGGGAGTCTGTTTCACTGGAGATAATGGTTTGCTTTTAGCTCGTGATTTTACATCTTCCTTTTTCACTGTGGCTGTTCCTGGACAACCGATGGCTGATGTCCCATTCTCCTTTGGTTTCAGGGTAATTCTTTTATTGACAAAGTCATCTTCTTCATCTAAATGTGAAGAGTATTCTATTACTTCTGACACATGGAACTTAAGTTCTTGTAATGGAACTGTCGAGAGAACTATTTTGGCAGATAACATCAACTCAGACCTTAATACTACAGGTGTTTAGAAGTTATTTGAAAAAAGGCTGAGTTGCGTACTGCAACATATTTGGCATCTTTAACAACAGAGCTTCAGTCAGACTAGATTGCGTACTGAAATAAAAGAGGTTACTTGCGTTCACACGTTACCTCTCACTCAGAGAGGCTCGCAAAGAACACCTTCCCTTCTTACACAGGGAAACCTATAAACAGAAAATGTAGGTCACTGAAATTTGAACCCTCTCCTTAAGTAATGCAAGGTTAAACTGCACAGCGTAACACATCTGTCACATAAGATGAAGTACAAAGCTACTTTTTTAAATAAATACTTTGTAGTATTTGTTAACAGAGCAGCTAATACAGGCTTTTCAGACCTGTATATTATTAGGAATCTCTCGATATTACACTATAAAGCAGGGGAAAACGTTAGAACATTGTATTTATAAAAAGCTTCTTGAATAAGCTCACTGGTTATTTTTCAATTACTGCTCCTAGCTTATGAATGTTTTTGCAGAAACACTCACCACCACTTTCTACTTTTTCCCTTTTAGTCAGAGATTTATGAGCTATTCTATATCCTCTACACTCTTGCCCTCAAACACACTCTCCTTCCAGTACAGTCAAACCCATCTCAAAGGAATGCGGCCGTTTCACACAACGCAGAAATCGGACAGGAGGTGAGCACATAAAATAGATTTTTTCAATTTAAAAGGAAGAGACTCTGTATGCCACTTTTCCTCATTAAGAATTAGCCCACAGACCACTGAACAAAAACTCAAACTTTCCTTTTAGGACTCATCTATAATAGCCAGAACATGGTCTCCCCGGTGATGTAAAAGAGGGTTTGATGGCCATTTATTCGTTCTGGACCCAAACTCTTCATCCGGTCAATCAAGCAACATGAAAGATTACCAAGGAGTTGAAAGAGTTCTGTGCCACGTCGTGCAGTCAGTTACACAAATGCAATGCTGTCACTGAAGCATACAAAAAACCTACCGATATCAGTGCCAACTGATTAGACTAATATGACAGCACAGAAGACACACATCACTGGACAAACTTCTTGATTAGTGATAAAACACTGTCTTTGTGACCTCTTCTAAAAACTCAAGTGTGCAAGGACTAAGAAGCAGACTGCAAGAAAATCCCCAAAATGACATCAGAGATCAAAGTGCAAAGACTTGAGAGGAACAGAAACCAAGGTCATTGCATTTGCATACCTCTAACCGAAGTCTGGTTTTACTTTTCCCAAAATAGAGATGTTTCAGACGCTCCCCTCAACATATCAGAAGCACAAGATGTTCTAAACGTCTGGTTTAGAACTGAAATGGACAGTATTATCAGAAAAATATGTTCATTTTCCTGTCATCTTTAGTTTAAGCCCCCTATATTGCTGTTCATACAAAATTCTGTTTTCTCAATCACTTCCCTAAGGTTAGATGATACCATGTCTGTCATCTATAACTTTTGTTATGTATGAGACAGAGATTGAGGGAAACAATTACTTTGTTTCACCTTTTCTCAATAAATGGCAGTAACAGAGTGTCCTAGGCATCAGCTGGAACTTCCTGGTACTGAACACTTCCTAAGCAGAAGTATGAACAAGCACAAAGGGGGATCCTGACTATTCCTGGGAGAGAAAGTTCATAGAGAAAGATAAGACACAGATGTAAGGGAGGCAAGTGGTTCATCAGTTAAATCAAGAATGCCTAAAGATAAAATTTTCTCCCTGATAAAATGGCATTTTAGCCAATTCAGTTGACAAAGCAATATACAGAAGGGAAAATTCAAGCTCAGGCCCCGAGGTGACAGCAGCAAGTTTTACAACAGAGCTAAAAGCTTTACTATTCTCAACACGATTTATTTTCCCTCAGCAGCAGTACCTCTCTTACTGCCATTTAGCTCAATTTAACAAACTATTACATATCTGGGAGATTTGGACACCAGGTGCTTTAGGCTCCCAACTTACAGTAGTGTGAGGTCTGGAGACTGCTCATCTCAAACTCAATTTCAGAAATATTTTTTCTTCTTTTAAATTTTTCAGTTTAACAAGAAAATATATTTGCAGGAGTAAAATATACCTATTACTACAAATGAACAGTTAATGTAGATGTAATTACATTCGTTTGTCTGGGAAAGATACAAATCCTATTCTACCCCCTCTCCCAGCTTTTCTCAAGGCAAAGAGCTGCTCCGTGCTGGAAAAGAATATTTACTCATCTCTATCATTATCAGAAGACCTGCATGCAGTATTGATTTTTTGCACTATTCACTCATAGCCACTTAAATAACAAACAACAGGATATTACTTTCAAGTAGAAAAAAGCAGAGTAAATATAATTAGGTTTTATTTAAAAAGGATATGCATTTGAGCCATTTACGATGCCAGTACTAAGTATTACCAATAATTAGAGCTTTGCTTTAATTATGTCCTTCCTAGAAACGACAAGATTAGAAGCATTTACAGACTGTAAGTGGTGGCTGAAGAAGGACAAGAGACTCACAGCCAACAGTCGTCTATAAAAGTAAATAGAGGCAGAATGAGAACATGAAAGTGGTGATTAGGAAACAAAGCCAACCCGATTCTATTAAGTGGGTTTCCAAAGATGCTTTAGGAGACAGATACTTAGGCTACAGTTTCATCCCAGGTTCAGGAAATTCATAAGCAGATCACCAACTTGCCTGATGGCCAGCCACTCCCCTTACTTCCAGTACTTAACAACATCAACTTTTTCCAGTAAAACCCTAATGCTTCTTCCATGAAAGGAATTGCTCCCGCATGCCTACCACCAGAGAAGCGAGCACAAAGTCAATCAGCTGCGCACTTGCAGTTTCTTTGCACACATAAAGGTGACTTTATTTACAACTCTGAAAACATCAAGAGCCCTAATACTGCTGCTGGACTATTCAGGTCAATGTTTCTCAGCGCATGAGCTGTAAAAGGAGGGGCATTCTCACTCAATACCAGTACACCCATAACTTGTGGGAAAATAAAAGTGGAAAAAAAAATCAGATTTTAGCTTATGCAAATCACAGATTAAGTGCATTCTCACAGCAACTGCTAGGTGAAGAGTTGAGAGCACCTTATGTGGTGGCATGGAGTTCACAAAGGAAGACACCGGAATGAATTTCACCATCAGCTAGATTACCTTTGTATCACAAAAATCTTTGTAGAGCAGAACAAGAGTGTTCCGAGAACAGTTTTTCCTGTGCACAGCAACATATTTCTGTGCGCTATACCATGAAAAAATACCCTAAGGATGCACATTTGTTTGTTTTCAGGACTAGCTCTGAATTACAAACACAAATAAGACCATGCAGTCTAGTCGAGTTTTCTGGAAATTAAGTAGAAGTAACAAAGAGAAAGCTAATCATGTCGTTAATGGAACGGACAGGCATGACAACCAGGAGATTGCTTTTCATTATTTTGGATGCAAACACTACAAATGAAGCAGGGACCTATTACACCAGGCAATGTACAAGGACAAACTTCCCTAGCAACAGACAACTGTTAAATCCTGGCAGGGTTTAAGAACATTCCATAGCATTAAAGCACATCTGGCTTTCATTTTATATACTGTTCCAGCAGTAGCACAACTAGGTTAATAAACTAACACCTGCAACCTACATGCAACAGTTTGCTTTTCCTCTTTTCCTACCCTCACCCTTTCCCAATGGGGTTTCACCTGCTGATTACAGAGAAACACCTGGAGTTGCTCCTTAACCAAGCTCTATCAAAATTATCTAGGGTGTTTTAAACACTTATTTAAATTCAGATCATTTTAAACAGCTCATGTTTAGGAACAACCTCAGTCCAAAAAGGAAGCAAGCCACTGCAGGAAGGGACAATGGCAACAAGCAGCACAGGACTGGCCTTCAGAACAACATATTTTATTCCCCTTCAGTTATTATTTCTGTACTGTGGAATTCCTCATCAGTACAGAATATAATTCCTTGGTTCCTGTTCTGTTCAGAATACATAATTTTTTAAGGCAGTGACCACCTCTTACTATGATGTTACCAAACTCCAAATAGAAACAGGGCATCTACAGATTAGACATAACTCATTATTATAAATGTATGTTCAATTGGTGTTTGTAGACTCCTACATAAGGATTTCTGTAGAGAGCTAAGGGACTATAGCCTATCCAAATGTCGTTAAATCTACATTACAGGTACTATGTGTGACTAGCAAAGTGCATTATTTTTCTACCTGCCTCCTCATTTAAACACATAGTAGTTGCAACCTACATTTAAAAAGAAAAAAAGTGGTCTGCACAGTCATTTAGATTTTTTTTTGGTCATTTCTCAACAAGCTAATTGATTTTAGATGTACTACAAACATGCACTTTAAACCACAATTGTCAGCACTTGGCCTATACTGACATGTCAAGGTTCCATGCTCTTAAAGTAGAAAGCTTACTCAGAACCATTCCAGCTTTACTCCCCTGAAATCAGTTCACATTTGGATTTTCCAGTTATCAAAGATAATTTCAAGATGTTGCCTCTGTTATTATTTTTTCATTTTCAGGCAAAAAGGTTCTGGGAGCTGTGCTGGAATTCAGCCAGGAAAGAGTTAATCAGGATCTCAATGCAATAACTGCTATATCTAACCATAATTATAAGCTTCAGTGCCAAACTAGGGCTGCTGACACCCTTTTGTCCAGTATACACCATATTAAATTCTTAAGTCAAATTCATATATTAAATCAAATATATGCATCTTTTAAAAAGATCTTTAGAAACAAGTTTTGGGAGCATTAACACACAGGAGAAAGCTGCATATATTTAAACTGAAGCGATCTTCATTTGCAAAACGCATCCATTGTAGCGGCTCCTTCCAAATGAAACACACGTGCCACAGAAACTGCTCTATGTATTAACTTCTAATTGCATGCCAAGGTATC